AGGAAAGCAATTTTTGACAACTGAACCATGAGGACCACTTTGAAATATAAAACTGAAAAAAAAAGGCATGTTTACTGAATCCATAATAGTGTCTCTCATACAGTAGATGCTAAAAAATATTTATCAAATGAGTAAATTAATGAATGAATAGGCAAAACACAATTAAAAGTAATCTATATGAAAAAATGTTGGCAATTCACATCTTGGGAAATATTTGACATCAAAAATGTTCAGACTCTGTAAACATGACATGAAAAAAGTATAGGCAATTGATAATAGTTTACAAAGAAGAAGCAAGGCAGCAAAGTATTATGCATGGGTATAACAGAGTAAATGAGAAGTAAAAATAACCTACTCCTGACACACAGATTACCACCAATTACAGTACTTTTGTTGTTGCTGTTGTTAGATGCCATCATGTCACTTCTCACTCATAGGGACCCTACGTACAATAGAATAAAACATTACCTGTTCATGTGCCGTTGTCACAATCCTTGTTATACCTGGGCCCACCATTGCAGCCAATGTATCAACCCATCTTGTTGAGGGTCTTCCCCTTGTTCATTGACCCTCCATTTTACCAAGCATGATATCCCTCTCCAGGGAATGATCCCTTCTGACAACATGACCAAAGTGGGTCAGATGAAGTTTTGCCATCATTGTTTCCAAGGAGCATTCCCACTGCTTTTAGTTCTTCTGGCAGTCCACGGTATTTTTTTTTATTCTTCCCAAACACCACAACTCAAAACGATCAGCTCTTCTTTCTCTCTTCCTTATTCATTGTCCAGCTTTCTAATGCATATAAGGTGATTGAAAAGACCATGGGTTGGGTTAGGCACAACTTAGTCTTCAAAGAGATGTCTTTGCTTGTCAACACTTTTAAAGAGGTCTTTTGCAAACATGTGCCAAGTACAATAGACAACTGATTTCCTAGCTGCTTCCATTGGTGTTGATTGTGGATCCAAATAATATGAAATCTTTGACAACTTTAATATTTTCTCCATTTATTGTGATGCTGCTTATTGGTCCCTTTGTTAGGATTTTTGTTTTCTTTATGTGGAGGTGTAATCCATACTGCAGATTGTAGTCTTTAATCTTCATCAGTCAATGCTTCACCTGCATATTGTTGTTGTTGTGGTGGTGGTTATGTGCCATCGAGTCAGACCTGACTCATAGTGACCCTTCTTTGGGTTTCCAAGGCGGTATCTCTACAGAAGTAGATTGCCCCATCTTCCTTCTGAGGAGTGGCTGGTGGGTCTGAACCACCAGCCTTCTGGTTAGCAGTCAAGTGCCTTAGCCACTATGCATATTACAGGTTGTTAGATGAGTCTTCCTCCAATCCTGATGCTCTGTTCTTCATATAGTCCAGCTTTTCAGATTATTTGTTCAGCATACAGATTGAATAAGTATGGTGAAAGGATACAACCCTGACACACACTATTCCTGATTTTAAATCATGCAGTATACACTTTTTCTGTTCAAATGACAGCCTCCTGGTCTTTGTACAGGTTCTGCATGAGCACAATTAAGTTCTCTGGTATTCCCATTCTTCTCCATGTTATCCATAATTTGTTATGATCCATACAAATGCCATTTCATAGACAGCAAAACACAAGTAAACATCTTTCTGGTATTCTTTGCTTTCAGCCAACATCCATCTGATATCAGCAATGTTATCCCACATTCCACGTCCTCTTCTGAATCCAGCTTGCATTTCTGGAAGTTCCTTATCAATACACTGCAGCAACCATTTTTTAATTATCTACAGCAAAACTTCACTTGTGTGTGATATTAATGATATTGTTCAATAATTTCCACATTCTGTTGGATCACCTTTCTTTGGAATGGGTACAAATATTAATCTCTTCCAGTCAGTTGGCTAGGCAGCTGTTTTCCAAATTTCTTGGCATAGATGAGTGCCTCCAGCACAGCATCTGTTTGTTGAAACACCTCAATGAGTATTCTGTCAATCCTGGAGCCTTGTTTTTTACTAATTCCTTCAGTGCAACTTCTATTTTGTCCTTAAATTCCATTGGCTCATTATCATATACCACTTCCTAAAATAGATGAACATTGACCAATTCTTTTTTATACAATGACTCTCTGTACACCTTCCATTTTTTTTCCTATAATATTTTATTTATTTTATTATTATTTTATTATTGTGTTTTGGGTGCAAATTTATAAAACAAACTTGTTTAACATTTATGAGTTCATGTACATCTAGTTTCATGGCCCTGATTAAAAGCCCCGAACCATGAGAAACTTTCCTCCCATTCCATCTTTTTTTGATGCTTCCTGCATCATTCAATATTTTGCCCATAGAATCTTTCATATTGCAACTCAAGGCCTGAGTTTTCCTTCAGTTCCTTCAGCCTGAGAAATTCCATGCATAGTCTTCCCTTTTGGTTTTCCAACTTCAGGTCTATGCATATCTCATTATAATAATTGACTTTGTCTTCTCAAGCTGCTCTTTGAAATCTTCTGTTTACCTTTTTTAATCTTGCTATTTCTTCTTAGCTTTAGCTAATCTCTGTTCCAGAACAAGTTTCAGAGTCTCTCTTGACATTCATTTTGGTCTTTTTAATTACCTTTTGCTTTCTTCATGGATGATGTTCTTGATGTCATATCACAATTCCTCTGGTTTTTCGTCACTGGTGTTCAACGTGACACATCTATTCTTCAGATGGTCTCTAAATTCAGGAGGGATATAATCAAGGTCATATTTTGGCTCTTGTGGACTTGTTTTATTTGTCTTCAGCTTCAACTTGAACTTACATATGAGCAACTGATGATCTGTTCCACAGTCAGCTCCTGGCCTTGTTTTGGCTGAAGATATTGAGCTTCTCTATCACCTCTTGGCACAGATGTAGTCAATCTGATTCCTTTGTATTCCATATGGCAAGGTCCATATGTGTAGTCACCATTTATGTTGCTGAAAAAACGTATTTGCAATGAATAGGTTATTGGTCTTGCAAAATCCTATCATGCGATCTTTGGCATCATTTCTATCACTGAGGCCATATTTTCCAACTACTGGTGATTCTTCTTTGTTTCCAATTTTTGCATTCTGGTAGCATAGTGGCTAAGACACTTGCCTGCTAACCAGACGGCTGGCGGTTCAAACCCACCAGCCACTCCTTGGAAGGAAGGTTGGGCAATCCTACTTCCGTAGTGATACTGCCTCGGAAACCCAAGGAGGGGTCGCTATGAGTCAGGGCCGACTCGACGGCACATAACAACAACAACAACAACATCACTAGTAATAATCAATACATCTTGATTGCATATTTGGTCAATTTCAGACTGCAGAAGGTGGTAAAAATCTTCAATTTCCTTATCGTTGGTTTTAGTGGTTGGTGCATAAATTTGAACAAAAGTAGTCTTAACTGGTCTTCCTTGTAGGTGTATGGATATTATTCTATTACTGACAGCACTGAACTTTATGATAGATCTTGAAACATTCTTTGTAATGATGAATGCCATGTCATTCCTCTTCAATTTGCCATTCCTGGCAAAGTAGATCATATGATTGTCTGATTGAAAATGGCCAAAACCAGTCCATTTCAGCTCACTAATGCCCAGGTTATCAATATTTATGTGTACCATTTCATTTTTTTTATAACTTCCAATTTTCCTACATTCATACTGTGTACATTCCATGTTCTGATTATTAAGGGGGGTTTGCAGCTCTTTCTTCCCGTTCTGAATCATGCCCCATCAGCAAATGGAAGTAGCAAAAACTTTACTCTATCTATATCATTAAGATCAACTCTGCTCTGAGGAGGCAGCTCTTCCCAGTCATATTTTGAGTGCTTTCTGACCTAAGGGGCTCATCCTCCTGCACTATATCAGCCAATGTTTCAGGGCTATTCATAAAGTGTCCCAGTAATGTATCAGATTGTGTTTCACTGCTACTTATAGGGTTTTCACTGGCCAATTCTTTGAGAAGGTCATCCCTTTCCTTTTTCCCAGTCTGTCTTAGTCTGGAAGTTCCACTGAAACCTGTCCACTATGGGTGACCCTGCTGGTATTTGCAACACTGGTAGCATACCTCACAGCAACATGAAAGCCACCACAGTACAGTAAACTGATAGACGAGTGGTGGAAGGTACTTCTAATTACCCATTAAATTGGCAGAAATGCATATATGTGACAAAAATTTTAACAGACTATGAACAAATAGGAATATATATAGTTCTCATAGCTCTATAAATTTGTGTAAATTTTCAGAGAAAAATATGGTGAGAGTAGAAAAATTATCATAACCTTTGACTTAGTATTATCACCATTAGGATTTTTCTTAAAAAAAAATACTTGCTTAATAATATTAATAATCTATGCTATTTTACCTCTAAGAATACATTTATATGCCTCTTTTCAACTTAAATTATTAAATTATTTAGATATACAATAGCATTATAATATGAACCAAAAACCAAACCCACTGTTTTCAAGTTAATTTCTGACTCATAGTGATCCTACAGGACAGAGTAGAACTGACTCTTAGGGTTTCTAAGGCTGTAAAACTGTGCAGAAGCAAACTGTCTCATCGTTCTCCTACAGAGCAGCTGATGGGTTCAAACCACTGATCTTTTGGTTGACAGCCCAATACTTTAATTACAGTGCCACCAGAGCTCTCTTTATAATGTGAAAGTACTATACATAAATGCTAAATAAATGTTCTGTTTCATTATTATTATTATTTTGACTCTTGAGAGTTCTTCCACTACTTTCTGTCTGCCTTTTTCCACTTCACAGACTATATTTGTGTCAGGTGAATATTGTTAACAAAGTGATTACCCTATTTTTGCCAAAATAACTAAAATCATGCAGGGCCAACATGGGACAATGCGAAGGCTTCAACAGAATCCTGGCTTCTCCCCAGGCTTAGCCCATTCTCTCTTAAGAAGAGCCCTGGAAGAAAATTAATGAAAGTCAAAAGTCTCTGGAGAAATAACAGGGAGAAAGAAGTAAGAAATGAACCAATATGCTCTTACCTTCTTGATATAAGGCATGTAATCTGGGTCTTTGTTATAGGAACCATATTCATTCTCTACCTGCACAGCAATAATGGGTCCCCCAAGCTTGTACTGAGGAGAAGAGATAAACAATCAGAAGCTGAGTTTGTAAAGGGAACTAGAATACCGAAGTTTACCATCCCTATTACTAACCACTAACAAAATGTTCCATTTGAAAACAATAGTCTCAAACAGTCTGGTATGCAGTTTCTGTGTTTAAGAATGGTTCTGGGTCATAGTCCTGGCATGACTTTCCCTACTGCTCCCACCCCTACCTCTACCACCCAACCTACTACTAAAACCTGTTGAATCATCTGTGTTTAAACAACTCCAGTAATCCCACCTTGCCTGAAAAACTTTAGGCTAATAACTTCCAAGCTTCTTGCTTCCCACATGATCAGGGTTTCCAGAATGAGCAAATAAACATATAGGACACCCAGTTAAATGTGAATTTCACATAAGCAATAAATATATTCTAGTATAATTAAATATAATGATCTGGGACATACTTACACTGAAAATATTAATCACTACTTATCTAAAATTCAAATTTAACTGGGGGCCCTGTGTTTTATCTGGCAGCCATACCCACGATCAAACATTTCCCTTTCATCTGTGTATAGGGTGAACAAGTATAGTACGAACATTAACTCAAGAGCAATTTTTTATTGAGGTACTAATTTTGTAATGTGACTCTTTCAGTTTTACATAAGCAATTATGTTAATTATTCTAACTCCTGCTTTTTCGTTGCTTACAATTATTCTATGAGATGTTAAAATACTTTCCCAAAAACTTTATTCTGCCACACAGGTTTTGGATAATAAATGCATGTCCTCTTTTTGGCCACAGAGGAAATTTCCTGGAATCACTGCATCTGGAACTCATTGCTGTCTTAAAAGCCCATATATTCCCACACTCCATGATAGCAAAGCCATGGTGCTACAGGAAAGGAGATATTACTATCATTGTGCATAGATGCTTATCTCCTAAACAAAGCAGTTCAAGCCCTAATACTGTCTGTCCTCTCAGCCACAGGCTGCATGAAACAATAACACAACACAAAGACCTCCTAAATGCATGGGCAGTTATAAACAGGGCTTCAATCTGATTCTTCCCAGTTCAGTCATGGCCAGTGAAGTGAAACTAGGACAGACAAGAATTTGCAAACTGTAGGGGACTAGAAAGATAACTTGAATAGGGAAATAAGTCAGTGCTCTGCTAGAAACTTAATTTCCTTCTTAGAAAACAAAGGCAGTGTGTCCATTGCATAGCAATCAAATCTCTTGACCAACACGGTCTAAAACCATGGTGCTGTACTCAATGATGGCAGCTGACCTCACTACTTTGAATGTACATCACTCTCCACAGTTCCAGCCATTAATCCAATCTCCACATCAGGCTCCTGAAAGGCCTCACTACACCTCTCCTTAGTCTCCCATTCCAGAGCTTCACCCTAAAATTTTTCCCATTCTGGTTATCATTGCAGGTACACATTTTACAAATTCTAGTCCATCTTGGTTTTACTTCATCAGCCATCACTGAACCATTTGAAATGTTTTGAAGTCCTGGTTACAAATGATTGGGGCAATACTAAATCAGACAGTAAGGAAGAATGTGTTCCTGTGTTGAAAAGCACTGTGAGCCCCTTGGCCTGAGAGCTAGCCCAGGGCTATCTATACCAACAGGAAGATAGGCAAAGAATAAGGAGCAGGTCTGCTTTTACCTGGAGTGGGACCACCCTGGACATCAGGTGATCAAAGTAATGATCTACGGCCGTTGTGAAGCCCTTATATGTGGTTCTCAGCTTCATGTCAGGGTCTTGGAGCAGCCAGCTTGGAGTGAGAAATGAGAGTGTTAGTTTCACTGTCTGTGGTTTGATTAGGACAGGGTAATGGTGGAATAAAATGTGAGCGCCTTCAGATTCATCCCCACACCCCCAGAATATCCAACCAGGAAGTGATGGGATTGTTCAACACCTGCCAAAGCTTGATGCCACACAGCTCATGGCCTCTACTCTCTACTGTGTCCCTACTAAAGGACACCAGCCCCAGCAGAGATGGTACTTCCCATTACATGCCTATAGGGCAGGGCTGCAGGTCAGAGTTAGAAAAGTTCTTCACTGGGCCCAGCCCAAAGGATTCTGTTTCAGCTCAGTTTTCAGCATCGACTATGTAATCTTCTTACAAAGGGGTGACACTGAAGGGCCAGGGACCATTGGGGATGGAGAAAAATACAGTCTCAGCCTTCCCTCTCCCATCTCCCAGGAAAACAGGTCTGACCGGGACTAAGGCAACAGTGCTGCCCTGCTCCCCTCTGTTCTAGTCCAGAAGCTGGGGCTAGCAGAAAGGATACATTTCTACAGGCCCATCAGCTATGCAGAGCTCAGCCCAGAAAGGAGCAGTGAGCAAGTAGATAAACTTTTTATAATCTGAGTGTTGTGGTCACAAAACCTGCTGATGAACAGAGAGCACCAAGGATTAGTTCCAAAGTTAGAGTCTTGGTATTTTCTCTTCTACTTGAAATTCTCAGAAAATACTTATATTTTCTAAGAAAAGACAATGCTTCTCTTGCCCTGGTCTGGAAGTCTTGAACAGGGTCGAAAATGTATCAATTTATACTAGGTAAAAAATAGATTTGAGGAGAGAGTAGCTTCCTCCAGGTTAGCATCTCAATGTCTACCTCCCATAAGATAGTTTCTTATTACCACTCAGCTTCCCACCTGTTGTCCAGTGCTCTCAGCTGCCTCCCCAGATGGCTCTCCCATGTGCCTAAACCTTTAACAGCAATCAGGCACTAAGCCCACAGGTAGCAAATGGTTGGGACTTCATGTTAGCAACATGCTAATTTAGAATTAGTCTAATATAGAATTAGGACTGTTAAATCCTGTCTTCCTTTTGTGCTTGGCCGAGCTGATCCCACGGAAACCTCTGCCCAAGGTACACCAATTTTTAATGTATACAGTGAGGCCATTTCTGGGTTGCTCTGATGGAGAAGTGCTAGGCATGACAGCACAGAGATGAGATGACCCAGGTGGAGGATAGAGCTGACAGTGTCCCTCAGGGAAGGGCTCTGTTGTGCTGGAAACTGAAAAGAAAACAAGTTGCTCTGTGCAGCTGTGTTGTGAAAGGCTGCTCCCCTAGGAGAGCTCATAACACACAGAACTGCTTTCTGCCCTCCTGGGGCAGCCAGGAAGGGAGAGTGGGCCTAATCATCTGGTGCAGTGTGAGGACAGGAATGACTTCAGTACTAACAAGAAACTTTTTTACTAGGAAATAATGATGATAATTAGGACAACAGAGGATGAATCTTGACCAGATTTCTATTCCAGTGAGAGATTATTATGTTGAACTCAGCTGATATTACACAAAATAAAATAGTAAAGTAATGCCTGAGATTTGAAGAAGCAACAGTAATTTGTTTTCTTGTATTTACTTAAACAATACTTGGACTTTTAAAAAATTCTGGTAATATGCTGAGAAATAGACAAGACAGTTTGTATTTTTCCTATTTTATGGACAGAGAAAGTAAGGTTCCAGAAAAGTTAAATGATTTCACTGGGGTTCCAACTAAATAGTAGAAACCTGATGAAGTAAAATGTCTTGGGAATGGCCAGCTCTTCCACCTGCTGCTTGGCACAAAGAAAGAAAGAAAGGAAAGAAAAAAAAAGACAGGCAGGAATTTTTACAGGGCACACATCATTTTAAATGATCTTCTTCGGGCTTCACTTATTCTGAAAAGGAAATAAACTACAGACTAGAATCATGTGCTTTAAAAATACAGTGGATCTACTTCTGTGATTAGCATTGTGTACAAGAACATAAGACAATGGTTTGAGGCCCTTTCCAGCCCTGCTCACCTGGGCAGGCCCCCAAGATCAATCTCACTGCAAATATAGGGGCCTGGACGCAGAATCACCCATAGTCCAAGTTCCGCAGCCATCCAGATAAAGGCCCTAGGGATGCAAACAGTGTTTGTGACTCATGACATTCAAACTGAGGCTGGGAGGTGGGAAAGAAAGGGGGTGAGACAGAGGAAGCAGAGAGGATGCCTAGCACAGGGCACAGAATACAGAGCACAGAGTGTAGAAACGGAGCTATCAGCTCCTTCCCTCACTTCACTCTAACAGGAGAACAAAGTTAGGAATGCAAAGGCTGAAACCCTCTCACCAGTACAGTGAGGAATCCAAAGGTAGAGGCATCCCTAGAAGTGGGGTTTTCATTGTCTTCACAGACCCATGGGGATGCTAAGGAGGAAGGGCTCACACAGGATGCTAGCAGGGTCATACCAGTGAAACTGACCCCTAATGGTAGCCCCTATCCCAGCCAGATAATGGGCTCACTCTGCACCCAGGCTTCCCCTTGGGGTCTTAGGCAGCCTCTGTGGATGTAGTGAGAAGTCCAGGCACAGAGGCTGCAGGCCCCACCCCATTAGGGGTAACAAGTGCCACTGGATAGTGTCTGGTCCTAGATGCACAACCTTTCCAACTATCCTGAGAATATGGCTTCAGGCTCCATCTCTTCCAGTAATGCTCCATTGTTCCTAAGGAATCCCAGGTGGCCACCTCTCTGCATCCCACCCAAGGTCTGGCAGCAGAAGTAAAATCAACACCTACTCCAGATCCAGATTCCCAGAGAAGTCATATTTGCCTCTTTCAATCTCATGGAGGTTCCAGGGTACATAGCTGTAACAGAAATATAATTACAGGCAAAAGTTTTTTATTCATTCTATTTCATTCCCCAGAGTACTTTCTTTATCCTTAAAACCCACATTCATGGTTGAAGACATGTTTCACAGATCCATTGTCTTAATGCCTTTGCAAATAAAAGCAAGAATAGACTGAAGAAATCTAGGGGCCTTGGCCATGAACTATCCATCAGTTTGTCATACTGTGGTGGAATGCTGGAATAGCATTTCAATTACTAACAGGGTCACACATGGTAGACAGGTTTCAATGGAGCTTCTAGACTAAGACAAATTAGGAAGAAAGGACTGATAATCTACTTCTCAAAATCAATCAATAAAAACCTTATGGGTCACAAAAGAATACTGTGCCATACAGTGGTGGAAGATGAGCCTCCTATGTTGGATGGCACTATACAATACACTCAAGCATTTTGTTCTGTTATAGATAAGGTCACCATGAGTTGGAGGCAATTTGATGGCAACTAACAACAAGAGGCCTTAGAGAACCCAGGGCAACTCCCTGGGTGACTAATGTCAATTCATCTTAGTTCTCCTAAGTGAACTAAGAGAACGTCAACAAGATTTGGGTAAAGCGCAGACATGCAGGTCTCACTCTGAAACCACAGGTCAGCTCTCTCTCCAAATGTAACTTCATTAGAAAAGAAGTTAAAACTAATGGAAGAGCCTTAATATTTAAACCTTAAACCAAAAATATCTCCTGAAGTCTTCTTAAACCAAACACAGTTTAATTTACCTAGTAAACAATTTTCTGCCTTGAGCACTGTGCTGTTTTAAGATCTATCTAAATGGGATCAAATTGAAAAACCAACTCATAAAGATTAGATAGGAGAGAATGTAATAAATATCACTGCACTATACATGGAGAAACTTGAATTGGTATATGCTTTTGCTGTGTATTTTCTCATCAACAAAAAATAAAATAAATTATTAAAAAAAAAGGAGGGGGACAGGAGATCCAATTATCACCCCTATTTTTACTGAAGATATGATTGCAAAAGAGGGAACAAAATGGAGGTTCTAACTCTAAAGAGAAGATAAAGTGTAAGGTCTTTTTTCTTTTTTTTTAATTGTGATTTGGGTGACAATTTACAGAGCAAATTCACTTTCCATACAGCAGTTCACATACACTTTGTCTCACAATATTGACTACAATTTACCACAATGCAACACCTTCCCTCCCCATAGTTACCCTCTTCCCTGTGTCCTTCCCTCCATGCACTCCTGCCCCGAGCTGTCTCCTTGTGCATAAATAGCCCTTCTATTCTCTCATGATTGTTATCTCCAAGGAGGGTATCTACCTCAGTCAAATGTTCACCTCATATGCCTGTCTTTTGTTTGGCTGAAAGCCACAGGAGTGGGTTCAATTCCAGGCCTGAAGGGCAGCTAGGGGCCATAGTCTCAGTGGTTCCACCAGGGTCTATCAGACCAGCAAACCTGGTCCCCTCCTTTTTTTTTTTTTGTTTTTTCCCAAATGATTTTGAGTTTTGTTCCACATTGTTCTCCCACTCTATCCAGGATCTCCGACATAGATCCCCCTCCAAGTGGTTGACAGTGGTAGCCGGGCTAAGTGTAAGGTCTTAAAGGAGCTGGACTCCAGAGACAAAAAGTATGAGTTCAAATCTGATAAGTGATGATACCTGCTCCCCCTCCCCATCCCTCCCTTGAGTCTCCAGTGGAGCCCTCTCCAATGGTGAGAAGGTGTGCATGTGAAGGGAAGGAAGGCTTTCTTCCTTCCAACTCAGACTCAAGGGTTTCACGTTTAAACAAATACACAGTGTCCAGGTTTTGATAGGCAAAATGCTGACCTCACAATATTCCTACAATATTCTTTCACGAGTCCTATAATGTGTTACTGTAACTCCAGTATCAGAACTAGCATATGCAAATAAATGGATTCTTAAAGCCATCTTTATGGGATGTTACTCAGTTATTTTAACAATGTTGTCAAAGCCCAAACACCCCTCTAGACCTTACCTGCATTTCTTATTTTATTATTCCCATTAATGTGGAGTGCTGTGAGTGTCAGGAGAGAGGGAGACTGTATTACCCATTATATCTAGGCAGAGGGGCCTGGGCTAATTCCAACTCTGACATTTTTCCTCACAAAATTCAGCTAAGGCTTCCCTTATAGTGGTTACTCAGGTTTAGGCTCTAATGGGGTTCATCCTTCTTAAACACAAGGGAGAACCTGAGGCTGGGCTTGCCATGAAATAATCCTGGTCTCTGGGCCCAGGATACAGATGGCAGGAACCTCTGTTTTGTACCAACTGTTGGTAAAAGGGGGCTGGGACCAGCACTCACGTGGTTAGGGTGTTCAAGCCACAGGCCTTCAGCTTCAGCAAGCGGTCCTTCCAGTAATGTCTGGGCACCCGGAAGTAGTGCACAGAACCCCCAAAGATCCAGAAGGTGGAGCCCTCCAGCATGAAGTTCTGGCCTTTTGCCTGCAGCCCTAACTGGCGATGTCTTAGCCATGGAGGGAGCAGATTGTGCCAATCCAATCTGGAAAGGGTGGAGATAGTCACCAAGCAAGAAGTTCTCCCATCAGCAGTGAGAGGGCCCAGAAAAGAGAAGGACCTCTTCTCTCTCTCGGGTCCCAAATCTATTTTTTAAAGAGGGCCTGCTTCCAGGGTGTTCTAGAAAAGTTCCCTACACTCCAACTTAGCCAAACCATGGAAGGAATCTTTCTTTAGCACCATTTCTGGGTCTGGACCCCACTTCAGGGGAAGAACAAGCTGATGCTGAAGCCAGAAACAAGACAGACATAATTTTCATCATGAAGGTGTGGGTGTTAAAAGGAGAGATGATGAGGTGAGGCCATGCTAACATGGGAAGGCAGTCTTCAGCAAGTTAAAGGGCTGTCTTCTGGCCTCTAGGACAGGGGAGTAGGTGGCACACAAGTTCCTACAGTGGCCAGCTCTTCAGCCCACTGCCTAAATATTGAGATAGTATTTACTTCAGTAGTACCTCTGAACTAACTCATGATCACAACTGTCCAACTCAAGGTACAGATACCCAGAAAAAAGTACCTGGGCTAGTGTTGCTGTTGTTGTTATGTGCTGTCAAGTTGGCCCCAACTCATAGCGACCCTTCCTTGGGTTTCCGAAGCAGTATCTCTACGGAAGTAGATTGCCCAACCTTCCTTCAGAGGAGTGGCTGGTGTGTTTTAACTGCCAGCCTTCTGGTTAGCAGTCAAGTGCCTTAGGCACTATGCTACCAGAGCTCCTGGGCTAGTAGTAGCATCGATTCATCAACCAAATTTCCAAGTCTTAATTATCTCTGAAAATCAAGTGTCAGCCAAGAGATAACCCAGAATTACAGACAGCTACACCCGGCAACTGGAAAAGTAGTTCATTGATTGCATCTTGGGTTGAACAAGAGTATCCCCCTCAACTGGATCTCATGACCTACTTCTCCTAAAACTCCCTCCTTCTCTTCTTCTCTTTGGGAGCATACGCTAGTTATAGAAGAAACTAAGGTACTGCCTGAAGGCAGTGAGAAAGCCCAGCAGGAGAAGTTGGGAGCCTAGAAGTTTCCAGCCAGAAAATTTCAGAAATTCAGGGCAGAAAACAAGAGCATGAATGAGTCTGGGGCAATTTTTCTTTTCTTTTTTTTTTTTTTTCCTGGGTGTTTTATTCTTCCTCAGCCAGGTTATTGACAGCTCCTGACACTAGGGGTCACAGGGCCTGGATAGGATCCTCTGCAGAAAAAAAAAAAAATTCCCTATGCTGTGTACAGTTTTCAATTTATATTGCAACACTGGCTGGAATTATACCACTGGGGAATCATTTTGGTGAAGCCCTCAATCACTGCCATCCCCTCAATCACTATGGATACAGACTGTTTGGGACTGTGGTCTCCTATAAGAAACAGATATGTGTGACCCAGATGTGGCTGAGGGCAGCAATCCTAAACTAGGACTCAATAGTGTTCGCATCTTCTAGAATCTCTCCAAACAACCAATGTATTCCTACAAACCAGACATGTTAGGGTCACTGTAAGGAGTTCTGATGCATATAGCTGTCTCCATCTTGTTGCACATCTTTTGCAATTAGTGTCATAGTGCTGATACAGAAATGTGTACAACAAATGGCCAGGGCCAGCTTTATGGGAATACAACCTGCACAGAGCCCAGGGCCCTGTGCTCAGGCCCTCTACATTTGGTTTATGCCTTACTGTCACCATCTTGAAACTTTTTGTTACTTTTTAAACAAAGGGTCCTGCATTTTCATTTTGCACTGAGCCCCATAAATGATGGAGCCAGTCCTAGAGATGACCAAGGACACTGGCCAAAATACATAGATAATTGTTTAATGGAGAAATTATCTAAAGCATCCAGGTGGAGTCAGTACAGGCTTCAGATGGATGACCTTTGCATTTGAATACCACAGTAGATGGCTTTAACAAACAGAAATTTATTCTCTCACAGTTTAGGAGGCTAGAAATCTGAATTCAGAGAGCCAGCTCTTGGGAGGGCTTTCTCTTTCTGTTGACTCTTGGATAAGGTACTTGTCATACTTGTCTTGAAGGCAGAGAATATTATAAGAAAGAATACACAAGCAGAGGAAACTTGGGACAAAAACACAAAAATATGAAGCATAATCTATTCAAAGAATGGCAAGCAGCTCAATGTGATAGGGCATCATGTAGGAAGAGTGAGGAGCAGCAAGTCTGAGAAGAGTGAAGGATGAACTAGATGGGGGGTGTGTGTAAGAACTATAGACAAGCGGACCAGTGCAGAGGTCATGTGATGGTTCACTCTAGCCCACAGTGACTCAGGTGTGCAGGCCATGAGCTATACTTCCCCACAGTCTGTCATTGGTCCTAGCTGAGATCAGCACAGAAAGTGACAGCATATACAACACTTTTATACCAGTGAGAATAATTTCCTAATGGACTGACCTTGGCAGTTGTGGTAATAGAGATGGAACGACGAAGATATTGACCAAATTAAATATCCTTGATGTGTTAACTGTCTTAGTTATCTAGTGCTGCTAAAACAGAAATACCACAGTGGATGGCTTTAACAAACAGAAATTTATTCTCTCACAGTTTAGGAGGCTAGAAATCTGAATTCAGAGGGCCAGCTCTTGGGAGGGCTTTCTTTGTCTTTCGGTTCTTCGGTAAGGTAATTGTCTCAATCTGTCTTTGATCTGGGAGTTTCTCAGCACAGGGACCCCATGCCCAAAGGATGCATTCCACTTCCAACTCTTTTTTCTTAGTGGTAAAAGAAGTTGGGAGCCTAGAAGTTTCCAGCCAGGAAATTTCAGAAACTCAGGACAGAAAACAAGAGCATGAATGACTCTGGGGAAAATGTATTTTTCTTTTTTTCTGCGTGGCTTTTTCTACCTCACCAGTTTATTGACAGCTCCTGACACTAGAGGTTATAAAGCCTGGCCAGGATTCTCTACAGAAAATAATTCCCTTTCTGCTTGTTTCTCTCTCCTTGAGGTCCCTGGCTAGTAGTTGTTTTTCTCCCAGGAAAACTCCCCATACATCAGGACTGTGATGTGATTGTCACCTTAATCCCCTTACATTGGAGGATCATAACTTGGATTATGTGACTTGAGTAAGGGTGTCACATCCCCTACTCAGCCAACTATAACTGATTAGCTGATCACATCAGATCATATCATGGGGGATGACTGCATCATATAAATGACAAATCACATCATTACATAACTGCCAGTGAGAACCATGGCCCAGCCAAGTTGACAAAATTTTGTTGTTGTTAGGTGCTGTTGAGTTGTCTGTGACTCATAGTGACCCTATGTACAGCAGAATGACAGTGCCTGGTCCTGTGCTAGCCCCATAATCTTTGCTATGCTGAGCCCATCATTGTAGCCACTGTGTCAATCCATCTTGTTGAGGGTCTTCCCCTCTTTTGTTGGCCTTCCACTTTACCAAGCATGATATCCTTCTTATAACATAACCAAAGTAGGGGAGATGAAGTCTGGCCATTCTCACTTCCAAGGAGCATTTCAGGTGCACTTCCTCCAGGACAGATCTGTTAGTTCTTTTAGCAGTCTACGGTACTTTCAGCATTCTTCACCCACACAACTCAAAAGCATCAACTCTTCTTTGGTCTTCTTTATTGTCTAGCTCTCACATGCATATGAGGTGATTGAAAATACCGTGGCTTGTTCCAGGTGCACCTTAGTCTTCAAGGAGTTATCTTTGCTCCTCAGCACTTGAAAGAGGCATTTTGCAGCAGATTTGCCCAGTGCTATATGTCATCTGTTACCTTTACTACTGTTTCCATTGGTATTGATTGTACAACCAAGTAATATGAAGTCTTTGACACCTTCAATCTTTTCTCCATTTATCATGATCCTGCTTATTGGTCCAGTTGTGAAAACTTTGGTTTTCTTTATATTGAGATGTAATCCATACTGCAGACTATAGTCTTCAATCTTCAGCAGTAAGTGCTTCAAGTCATCCTCACTTTCAGCAAGCAAAGTTGTGTCATCAGCATATCGCCGGTTGTTAACGAGTCTTTCTCCAAAACTGATGCTGATTCTTCTTCATATAATGCAGCTCTTCAGATTGTTTGCTCAGCATACACACTGAGTAAGTATCGTGAAAGGATACAACCCTGATGCACTCCCTTCTTAATTTTAAACCATGCAGCGTCTCCTTGTTCTGTTTGAACAACAGCCTCCTGGTCTTTGTACAGGTTTCTCATGAGTACAATTAAGTGTTCTGGAATTCCCATTCTTCTCAATGTTATCCACAATTTGTTATGATCCACACGATCAAATACTTTTGCATAGTCAATAAAACACAAGTAAACATTTTTCTGATATTCTTTGCTTTTGGCCAAGATCCATCTGATATCCCTTGCTCCACATCCTCTTCTGAATCCAGTTTGCATTTCTGGAAGTTCTCTGTCAACATAATATACTGCTGCAACCGTTTTTTAATTATCTTCAGTAAGATTTTACTTGCATGCAATGTTAATGATATTCTTCAAATTTCCACATTCTGTGGGATCACATTTCTTTGGAATGGGTACAAATATAGATCTCTTCCAATCAGTTGGCCAGGTGGTAATCTTCCAAATATCTTGGCATAGCAGAGTGAGTTCCTCCAGCGTGGCATTCATTTGTTGACACATCTCAGTGGTATTCCATCAATTCCTGGAGCCTTGTTTTTCACTACTTTCTTCAGTGCAGCTTCGACTTCTTCCTTCAGTACCATTGGTTCTTGATCATATGCCACCTCCTGAAATGAATGGACATTGACCATTTCTTTTTGGTACAGGACTCTGTGTATTCCTTTCATCTTCTTTTGATGTTTCCTGCATCATTCAATACATTGCTGTGATAGTTGGAGCTGTGTTTTAACGTGGCTGGACCACAATTCTGTGTGGTTTAAGCAATTGTGATGTGGGTTATTCCCATGATGGGATCAGATGAATATGTTTTGAGTAGTCAATCCATTGAAAGGGAGTTTTCCTATGGGTGTGTCCTGCTTCTAATATATTTATGGGCATACTGGGA